CTGTCCATGTAGACATTAAAGTATCAAGGGATATCTAGGAAGACCATGGCCTTGGTATGCAGAGGGTGAGTGGCAAGAGTGGTAGCCCCTAAGGACAAGTAATGAGAGAGGCTGGTATAGCTGATTGCCTCAAAGAAATGAGAATTTGCCAGGGAATAGGCAATGAGTTCTGACATCACGATGGCAGGAACACCGACCCTGTCTCTTCTATGTGTATGACGTCATAAAATGTCAACATTTATTCTTCTGTGTTGTGCTGAAACATCACATTGTGCTCATTTTGTCAATGGATACCACTTTATGGCAAAACTTGAGGGAAACATAGCAATTATGAAAGATGGAGGGTAGGAATAAGGTTTTTCTTGTATCAGACAGACCTCGGTTCTAGCCTTTCTCCAGCAGTTAATAGTTTCATGATGTGGCGAGGAAATACAGATAATTCACCACAGAAGTTTATTGCAAGGACACACACAAATGTTGATGTGAAGTATTTCCCCACCAACAGCACAATATCCCATTTTTCTGCCTCTGGGAGTTGGGAGGGTCAGAAACTGTTTCACTTGTGTTTATAATTTCCAAGGGGAGAAATTTATTGGGCAGACATGAAGCCTGTCAGTAGGCAGGTTCCTGGTCAGCAACTTTCACCTTCCTAACAAACCTTTCCTTTCAAGACATAGCATCTAAAGAGGGAAAACACTGATTAGAGCCACTTTTCTCAGTAAGTAATGGTGTGTAAGATGGGGCTCTGGTACATTCTGGATTCTTATCTGTTAAGTGGGGACAATACTTGAAATTTGGTTATAGAAATTAAGATAAAGCACATACCAACATCAGAACCTATACAAAGTGGGTTCTCAATAGATATTATTTTCAGAGGCATCGTGGTGTAGTAAAAACAACATGGACTTTGAAGTCAGATGTTTTAATTCAGAGTCTGCTACTTGAGATTTTCAATTTCCTGATATATAGAAGGAAATGGGCACAAGGAGTTTATTTATTTAAATTATTACTAGGGGAACCAATGTCTATGGGTTTTAATCTCCTATGTGAAAAATGAAGCTCAGTCACCTGATGACGGATACCTGAGGGTGGGGTGGGGAATTAAGGACAGCAGTGAAGGTGTAAAATAATTGCCATGAACATTGATATACAGGTGGATAGATGGGTGGACAGGCTGAACTACTGGGTATGTCCATGCAGGGGGGAGTGTGCCCAAGACCGTGTATAGGGTTGGCAGACAATGTGTCTACAAGTGTATTGGTATGTTCTGTAAGAATTCCCAGGTATATAGTAGAGCTGACAAGGGGCAAGGTTGTAGTCACTTCTTGGCCACAGCCAGCTACCCAGGAGTGAGTAGTTGGACCTGTGGGCTTGGGACCATAGTTGCAAGAGACATCAAGCTCAATTGGCATAACATACTACACAAAACATTGTTCCACCTCCTATTTTGGCAAGTAGCGACTGGGATCTTAAAAGCTTGCAAGTGGTCATCTAGATGCAACCATGGGTCTCTCCTCATCCAGAGCAAAGAATGAAGAAAACCAAAGACATATGGAAACAATTAGTCCAAAGGACCATGCCATCAGTCCAAGGGACCATGCAATCCTCAGCCAGAAGGCCAGAAGAACTAGATGGTGCCCGGCTACCACTGTCAACCACTCAGAGGGAGATCTATGTAGGAGATCCTGGATAGAGTAGAAGAACAATGTGGAACAAAAAAGAAAAAAAGGACCATGTTTGCTGGTCTGATAGAGCCTGATGAAACCACTGAAACTTATCACTCCTAGTTTCCCTTTAGGTCTGGAATTGAACCCACTCCTGTGGCTTCCAGCCAAACAAAAGACAGGTATATGAGCTGAACTTTTACAATAAGTAGATAAACTCCTTGGAGAGATCAATCATGGGGGAATAGAAGGGTTGTGTACGCACAGGTAGACAGCTGGGGGTGGGGCAGGAGTGCATGGGAGGAAAGGACACAGGGAAGAGGTAACTATGGGAAGGAAGTGGGAGGGGAGCTGTTGCATTGTAGGAAATTGTAGTCAATGTCATGAGACAAGGTGTATGTCAGCTGCTGTATGGAAAGTAAATTTGCTCTGTAGAATAAAAATTTATAAAAAAAAGTAATTGCCATGATGATTAGAAGAAATGGATTAGTAATATATAAAGGATTACTTGTTGGTCATGAGGGCTTGATTGAGGTTGTAGACCATGAATTTTTAGTGGCCTCCATTATGCAACTGTTTTTTCCAAGCAGCTTAAATGGAGAAATAGAAAAGATAAAATGGCTGGATTGATACAGAGAGGCCAAGGACAGCAAGAAATGGAGGTAATGGAGTGATGCCATTCAGACTGTTGAATACAGAAATACATTCCTCAAGGAGAGTGATAAATGAGGAAAGAATGGAGAGCCTGGAATTAGAAATAACAGAATAGGTACACTGGGAACAAGCTGGGGTAGGAGAATGAAACAGCTGGAGTTAGATTACAGACAAGGAGTGAAATACTGAGGTAACATTAAAGAGGTCCTGCAGATTTGGCTCTGTCTTTTTTGAAACCTTTATCCTTTTTTGGCACTATTCCTTGTTCTGTCAGTTAGTGCCTATCTGTTGACTTCAGCCCTGGCTGCTGAGAAATTGTCATCTATTTCTCCCTTGAGTTTCTCCCCTTCAAATCTGGCTGTATTACAAAATAGGGTCTACCAAGTTTTCCCCTTCTTGGCTGCTCCTGAAAACAAGCACACAGACCTTTGTTTAAAGGTTGTATTGTTCATCCTGAGAAAGCAGAAATAATAAGGAAGTAACCTGGAGAAATGATAGAAACTCCAGACTCCAGAATTATTACAAGTTTCATCACTCTCCTGTGGTTACTAATTTCCTAGGCGGTAGTGCCTAAACACCCTGTGATTTTTGATCTGTTGTCCTTAGATATCTCCTGCCTTCCATAGACCTAGAATCTTTTCCTAAACGATAGAAACCAAAAAACCCAACCCACTGCTATCAAGTCAATTCTAACTGATAGCAACTCTATAAAACAGGGTAGAATGACCCCATAGGGTTTCCAAGGCTGTAAATCCTTTTTTTTTTTTTTTTTTGTTCTGATTTGGGTGAAGATTTACAGAGCAAATTCACTTTTTTTTTTTTTTTTTTGGTTCTGATTTGGGTGAAGATTTACAGAGCAAATTCACTTTCCATACAGCAGTTCACATATACTTTGTCTCATGACATTGACCACAGTTTACCACAATGCAACAGCTCCCCTCCCACTTCCTCCCCATAGTTACCTCTTCCAGTATCCATCCCTCCATACACTCCTGCCCCCTGAGCTGTCTCCCTGTGCATAAGCAGCCCTTCTTTCTCCCATGATAGTTCTCTCCAAGGAGTGTATCTACTTGAGGCAAATGTTCAACTTATATGCCTGTCTTTTGTTTGGCTGGAAACCATGGGTGTGGGTTCAATTCTAGACCTGAAGGGCACCTAGGGGCCATAGTCTCACCAGGCTCTATCAGTCCAGCAAACCTGGTCCCCCCCCGCTTTTTTTTTCTCCAAATGATTTTGAGTTTTGTTCCACATTGTTTCACCTCTCTGTCAAGGATCTCCTGCATAGATTCCCTTCCAAGTGGATGACTTTGGTAGCCGGGCACCATCTAGTTCTTCTGGTCTCATAGTTGTATAGGTTGCAGATTGGATGGTGTACCAGTCACTAGGACTAATTGTTTCCATGAATTTTGGTTTTCTTCATTCTTCTTTGCTCTGGACAAGGAGAGACCCATCATTGCATCTAGATGGCAGCTTACTAGCTTTTAAGATCCCAGTTGCTACTCGCCAAAGTTGGAGGTGGAACGTTTTGTATAGTATGTTATGCTAATTGAGCTTGATGTCCCCTGCGACTATGGTCCCAAGCCCACAAGTTCAACTACTTGGTCCCTCCGGGTAGCTGGCTATGACCAAGCAGTGACCACAACCTTGCTCCTTGTCAGCTCTACTATACACCTGGGAATTCTGATCATTCACATAAACTCATAGGACCATTGTCTGCCAACCCTATACATGTTCTTGGATACACTCCCCATTTCATAGACATACCTAATAGTTAAGGCTGTCCACCCATCTATCCACCCATATACCAAGGCCGTAAATCTTTATGGAAGCAGACAGCTTCATCTTTCTCCTGTGGACTAACTGCGGTTCAAACCACTGACCTTTTGGTTACAGCCAAATGTCTTAACTACTGTGACACCTGAGATATACCTACCTACCTACCTACCTACCCATTGCCATCAAGTCGGATCCGACTCAACGACCCCTCCTTGGGTTTCTGAGGGGTGTTACTATGGAAGTAGATTCCCCAACCTTCCTTCTGAGGAGTGGCTAGTGGGTTTGAACCACCAGCTTTCTGGTTAGCAGTCAAATGCCTTAGACACTGCGCCACCAGAGTTCCCTTTTATAAACCCTTGTGTTGAGGGCTGACTTTCAATAGATCGCATAGCTCTGCTATGTATGAAACCCTGACCCAGAAGCAGGTTGTCTGCAAATGGTTCATGAGCTAATGCATGCTTAGCTCACAAGTGAGCCATTTCAGTCTCAAGGACAGCTAGGTTCACATTTTGTCATCTGGGCAGGAACCAACATCCTGTTGCTCATATCAACCTTAAAATTGTATCTACAGGCCCTGTTTTAACCAGGTACCTGGGAATACTGAGGGATTCTGCACACAGCAGCCAACTGCTTAGCAGCCAAGGCTGATGCTAATAGATACGCACTAACTTGCAAAATATAGGATGATGCCGATAAAGTGGGTTTCCTCCCCAGAAAAACAACGCAGTTATTAAAAAAAAAAAAAAAAAAAAACAGGTTTATTATCTCCAAGAAAAGGAGCAAATTATCCATCCATCTCTCAGGCAATCCTTTACTGTCTCTGTACAGGCTTCACTCAGCCCAAGGTCCACTGGCTCCTTCAATGGGAAGGTCCATCCAGTCTCTCTCCTTTTGGGGTAGGAATAACTAGCTGCCTGAGGGCGAGGTTCCAGGCTGTTCGGCAGCAATACCTGGCACAGCTGAGGCAGCTTCATAGTCTGCCATGCGGCGCTGTACCAGGGCAGGCATGAGCTGCACATATGCGGCCATGAGACGGTGGTTGGAATGGATCAGCTTCCCAGCACAGTTGTGCAAACAGGCCTCCTGAAAAGAAGACAGGGTCAGTAGGGCCCAACGGGGTCCTGCCAGGCCCCATCTCCTTTCTTCCCCATCCCCAGCCTAGGGGCGAAGGCCGTGGAAAGACCAGGGCCAGAAGTATAAGTGAGGGGCGAACGTCTTGGAAAGCAACCTATCTATCGTTAACTTTGAGGATCAACGATAACCTCCCTACTCAGTCCCCCACCTCTTCAGCGTCCAGAGCTCGGTGGTGCAGGCTGGGAACGCAGCGCTGGAAGCAGAGTTCTGTCATCCGATTGTAGACCAAAAGGAAGTCCCGCAACTGCAGGAAAAGGAGACCAGGAACTCAGCGATAAGGGGTCCCAGACAGCTCAGGCCCCGCCTCCTGAGGCTGCCCTGGGCTGCACACCACAGCCCGAAATTCCCAGCTATCCGATCCCTGAATCTCTGTGGTACCCGCGACACGGACAGGCAAGGGAGCTGAAGGTATGGCCCTGGAGCAACTTAGCGCCCACTCACATTTCTCAGCTGCTGCTGTTGCTGCTCCATCACGCCACGGGCGCATGCCTAGATCACTTCCGTTACAACTTGAAAACACCCCGGAAGTGATCTTGCGGCGTTCCCTAAGGATTGAGGGGCTGGCTCAAGGACCGCCCTGCCTCCGGTGGCTAACGTCACCTCCGCCCTTATAATCTGCGACGTGGCCGGCTTCTTCTGCCCGGGAGGGGACGTCACTTCCGCCGAGTCCCTGACCTGCTGCTAGGATCGCGACGGGAACTGGAGCCCGAGGTCCCCGCGCGGCCCGGGCCTGGCGCCCTGAGGGGAAGAGCGGCCCGGCCCGAGGTGAGAGGGACATACTTGGGTGACAGGGAGTTGAACGCACAAATCTGTCCTGAGGTCAGGTTGCCCCTGAGCCCTCATGGAGACACACCTGATGCCCAGGTGAATAGGGGGTTGGGCGGGGACTCACACACCTGGGAAGACATAACTGACGTTGGAAAGGATCACCTGTGTCCTGGGAAGAAGAGGCTTTTACCAGAGGCGCAGAACTTACACCAACTGATTCAACTAAGGCCTGGTGGGGTGGGCCTGAGGAGGAGGAAGAGGTGCAAGGGTTGGAGGAAGGAGAGACCACTTGAAGGAAGGGGGAAGAAAACACTAAAGGAGTGGAAAAGGCCAAGCAATGCAGGACATACTAGACTGGGATGTGGGCACCTGAGCCCTGGAAGGGAGTTCATCTCCTGGTGGGGGAGACAGGGAAGACACACTGAATGGGATAAGGTCCAAGAGAGCGTGGACTTTTCTCTGCTGTATTCCCGGGGCCTCTAATTGTGCCTGACACAGTGCAGGCACGCATTAAATGCCTGTTGAATGATTGAATGCATGAATCCTGAGTCCTGGTGGGTTTGAGAGATTATGAGGAGATACCTGAGGCCTAGATGTGCATGTATAAAAATGTGCACTTTGGAGGGGAGAAATACATGGATCTAAGGAAAAGAGTGGTGGCTGTACCCCACGACATTTTTAAGTGCTGGAGACAACCTCTAAAACTTAAGCAATGGCAAGAAAGGCCTTCCTCTTGTGGCCTTTTCCCAAAACCACCTGTGTTGGGCTTTGTAGGGCCCTGGGGTGGAGACTTTGACTCCAGTCCCTGCCCCAGCCATGACGGACGGGATCCTCGGGAAGGCAGCCACAATGGAGATCCCCATCCATGGGAACGGTGAAGCTGGACAGCTTCCTGAGGATGATGGGTTGGAGCAGGTGCTTCTCTTTGATTCTTCTCCTAATTGAATTCTAACACACAAACTCTAGGCTCTTATCCCATTCCAATAGCCTTCCCCTAACTTACCTAACTCCCATAAATCTTTTTATAAATTTTCATTCTGATTCTGTGCACTTCTTCCTTGCTCTCCCTATGGTGCTTCAGTCCAACCCTCAAAATGATTTAGCTGCCCCTGTGTTACTGAAACCTCCCTCTTCTCTGGCCCATAGGACCTCCAGCAGGTGATGGTGTCAGGACCCAACCTTAATGAAACCAGCATTGTGTCTGGTGGCTATGGGGGCTCTGGTGATGGACTTATCCCTACAGGTATGAATGGTCAGAGACAAAAAACTTGAGTGTAGAGGGGGAACAGGAATGGTTCTGGAGACTTTAGTATATACCTAAGGAAGGTATATTTGGAATTATGTCTGGAGGTCTTGGGAACTCCTGCCAGTATGAACCTCGTTCTCAGCCTAAGGCCAGTTCCCAGTGTTGGCCATCTGCTGCCACTTGCCAATTAGCCCTTCAAATGCATCCACTTATCCTTTCCCTGCTGCCATCACCTGAGGCAGCTTAAGATGTCTAGTTCACAGGAGGTCCCTGCTCTGGATCTTAAGGCTGACTTGGAACTTTGTGAGGCTTCTCAGAGTTTTACTTTAGACTCTAAGTTTAGAAGAACAAACAGCCCTGAATCTCACACAGATTAGATTCCACATGGGAAAGTCACCAGGTTTCCTGTTATGAGATTCAATCATTGTTGACCCCATCAGAAGATGGTCAGAGGGACTCATGGAGAGGTATGCTAGGAGATAGGTCTTGGGGCACAAGGTGTGATTTTCCTCTAATGATCAGGTGGATCTGCGTCTAACTTCTGCTGCTTCAGGGAAGTCATGTTCATGTGCTGGGAGGGAAGTATGGATGGGGCTACAGAGGTGTTCTGGTTGTATCTGAGAGAAGCTGGTGTCAGAGAACTTGGTCCTTTAGGGTCCGGCCGCCATCCATCTCACAGTTCCACTCCCACTGGCCCTGGAGATGAGGTGGCTCGGGGAATCGCTGGAGAGAAGTTTGACATTGTCAAGAAATGGGGCATCAACACATACAAGGTGCGACACAGAGACCTCTTCCTATCCCACAAACTCCCCTGAGTACCCATTTCCCTTCTCCCCAGACCCCAACGTCCCATCAGTGGCTGGGACCAGGATCCTGGGGGTGCTGGGGTAGGTACCTATTGGGGGAGGGTGCTGGGGTCTCTGACCTGTTCCCCCACTTCCCAATCAGTGCACAAAGCAGCTGTTATCAGAGCGATTTGGCCGAGGCTCCCGGACTGTGGACCTGGAGCTAGAGCTGCAGATTGAGTTGCTGCGTGAGACGAAGCGCAAGTATGAGAGTGTCCTGCAGCTGGGCCGGGCACTGACAGCCCACCTCTACAGCCTGCTGCAGACCCAGCATGCACTGGGTGATGCCTTTGCTGACCTCAGCCAGAAGTCCCCAGAGCTTCAGGTGCTTCAGCCAGGCCAAAGAGGGGGAGGACTGGGCCCGGGCCCTCCCAGGCAGTCACCCCTCAGCCTCCCTCCCTCCCTCCTGCAGCCCACAGGGAGAACCCCTCCAGGGTGGGCCCAGCCCTGCCCCCAGCAACACTCACCTGTGGAGGCAGCTTAAGGGTTTGTACAGAGGTCCAGAAGTTGGAGGGGATGGGGGAGGATGCCTCACAAGTAACCTTTCTCTGCACTGGCAAGAATGCCTGTGGTGTTCGACCTAATTGCCTGTGGAATTCGGCCAAATTGGAGCCCCTCCTCTGCCTGCCGCGCTAGCTCTTCCTGATCCATTCCTGTGAATTTGAGAACCCCCCACCTCTCATATTCCTACCCCAGGCATCCCAGGGTGGCCCCACTAACTTTCTGGCTGAGAGAGCCTTGCTGGAGGCAGTCCTTGTGTGTTCTAGTATGATTTGATGTCAGTTGCCTCCCTGGGGAGGAGGGGAATGAAGGGCCCTACAACTCCAGTTAGGCAGGGACTATTACTCATGGCCTGTCCCTGCCTTCTGCCCTCAGGAGGAATTTGGCTACAATGCAGAGACACAGAAGCTGCTATGCAAGAATGGGGAGACGTTGCTAGGGGCGGTGAACTTCTTTGTCTCTAGCATCAACACATTGGTCACCAAGACCATGGAAGACACACTCATGACTGTCAAACAGTATGAGGCTGCCAGGTGTGGACACTGGCAGGGCTTAGGATTTGGGGAGTTGGCTGGCATGGGTGGAAGACTGGGCAATAGGGGCATAAGAATCCAAGGAGAGTATGTGTGGAGGACAAATGAATGGAGACCAGCCTGTGTCACCCCCCCCCTCCCCAGGCTGGAATATGATGCCTATCGAACGGACTTAGAGGAGCTGAGCCTAGGCCCCCGGGATGCAGGGACACGGGGCCGACTTGAGAGTGCCCAGGCCACTTTCCAGGCCCATCGAGACAAGTATGAGAAGCTGCGGGGAGATGTGGCCATCAAGCTCAAGTTTCTGGAAGAAAACAAGGTGCCAACCCCAACTCCCTTGACCCTAGCCCACATTTCTATCTGTGATGCTGACATTCCCCTGAGCCCCGCCCCATCACTGCGTCGGGAAACACAGCCTGGCTAAGGAGTGGGATATTGGCCTCAGCACTCCCTGGGCCATGCCAGATTATCCTCCTCCTAATCACTGGCCCTCTTCTGTTGGAGGATTTGGCAGTTGGTTCTGGGAACATAATTGGGAAAAATCACCTCCCCTGGACTAGGAGACCAGAACCCCAGATCCAGAAAATCAAATCAGGTTTCTCCCCTCAGATTGTCCCTTCTCCTTTGACTCCCTGGTGGAGTTTAGCCCCACCCTAACAGCACCCTGAGAACAGAGTCCAGGTGCCCCTGGTCTGGGTCCAGGCTCAGGCTCTTAGCCCCTGAAAGAGGGTACATGAATCCAGCCTTAGCTGACCCTGCTGGACCCCCAGATCAAGGTGATGCATAAGCAGCTGCTGCTCTTCCACAATGCCGTGTCCGCCTACTTTGCTGGGAACCAGAAACAGCTGGAGCAGACCCTGCAGCAGTTCAACATCAAGCTGCGGCCACCAGGAGCTGAGAAGCCCTCCTGGCTAGAAGAGCAGTGAGCTGCTCACAGCTCAGTCTGGCTACCAAGAAGGACTCTGGGAGGGGCAGCCCTCGGGTGGAGGAGATTGGACATGGGACATCTTCTGCCACCTGCCTTCTGGCTTGGGCTTCCTCTCCCTGGCTGGTGCCTAATACCAGTTTTGCCCAAGCTGCTGTGGAGAGGGGGCCAGCAGGCCTAGTAGCTGCCACCCTGTCCTGTATTCTCCTGGCCACTGGGCTTCATTCCCAGTTCTTTTCCTTCCACTCCACAGCCAAAGGCTATGACAAGACCACTCCCTGGCCAATGGCATCACTCCTCAGGCCTATACCCAGCTCCTGGGGTTGGCCTCTTGACCAATGGCAGAACCTCAAAAGGCCCTGTCAGCCAGTGGCAGCTCTTCTTGGGCTCCCCTGGACCAATGATGTTGCCTCCAATATCCTCTGTCCCACCTCTATGCGTGCCCATTGCAGAGAAGGGGACTGGGACCAAAGGGGTGGGGATAAAGGGGAGCCCCATTTCTGGCCCTGCATCTGAATGGGCTTCCTTCCACCCACCCAGTTTAATTGTGCTCAGAGCCCCAGAAGATTGGGGTTTAGCACTAGGAATAAACCTTTCATAAAAGCAGGTCCAGTGAGGTCAATTTGTGGGGGACTCCAGGGAGGGTGGGCTGGGTGGAGAAATGCTCAGCCTGATTGTACACCAAAATCTTACCAGGTCAGGAGAGCTAGGCCCAGACAGCTGAAGTCACAGTTTCAAGAACAGTCTGAAGGCCCATTCTCCTTTCCCAACCCCCAGCCCAACTGGAACCAAAGCTTTGTTTGCCCTGCAGGCCAGTACCATAATAGCTATGGATAGATCTTAAGAGCAGGGTCCAAAAGACGTTGGGCCAGCTGACTATCATACATTCATTCATATAACAAATATTTACAGAGTGCTTTTATTTGCCAAGCACTGCACTAGACCCTGGGGAAACATCAGTGAATAAAGCACAGTCCCTGCCCACAGTGCTTACAGCCTAGTGGGGGATAGAGACAAGTAACCAGGCAACTACAATACAGCAGTAAGCCCTAGGATACAGGAAGTACAGGGAGCTTTGGGAGCACAGAGGAGGGACGTGCAGCCTAAACTGGGGTGGGGATGGGGGCTGTCAGCTTGGAAGCTGAGACCTGAGGGTGAGTAGGTGACACCCAGGCATAGTAGGGGAAAGAAGCCAACATGTGTTAAGGCCCTGAGTAGGAATAAGAAGACTTCAGTTTGACAGGAATGAAAAACGAAGAGGGAGTGGCCAGAAGACTGGAGTAAGGTAGTAAGGTAGGGCCTTTTGACCTTTGGATCCAGGAAGCTGTGAAGAACTTTAAGCAGAAGTTTGCATGGGAAAAGTCCAGGGTTGAGGAAAGTCTCCGAGAGTTCAAATAATGTTATAAAGACCCCAGTGCCCTCACCCTGTGGATAGTCTAGCAGCCCTAGCCAAAAGCTCCAAATCAAGCTTGAGTTCTGTCTTAGGTTTACTCACAAACATGGACACCAAGCTGGAACTCAGGTGGTTGAGAAGGTTCCAGTCTTCCCTGCTGCACCCTGGTGTTGAGCCCAAATTGGAACTTTGTGTGAAGCAAGAAAGCTCCCTCACAGCACTTTTGAGTTAGCCAGCTATCACCTCTCTCTGCTCCTTGGCCAAGGAGAGCTCTAGAATCTTTCCACATTCTTCCCTATCTCTGGAGGGCTGAGGGAAGGGGGACAACCCAGCCAGCACACTCATTTAGCACCAGGATCCACACAGACCTGACTGCTTTGTGTCAGTGGCTGCAACTCCCAGGCAGGCTTCCTGGGTTTGGACACCCTGCAGTCATGTGACTGGAACTGAATTATTAGGTGGGGGTCCACATATAACTCAGCACTTTATGGTCTTCTGGGAACTTTGAATATGAAAGGTACTAAATCTCGAAGTGGAAGCAGGGCCTAAAAGCAAGGTTCAAATCCTAGGTCTACTTTCTAGCTGAGTAAGTGATTGTTGTTGTTGTTGTTGTTATGTGCCGTCGAGTCGGCCCCGATTAACTTAATGTTTGGGAAACCAAAGCCATCAGTTTCTAACATAAAACGGGGCTATTAAAAGAAGCTACCTATTAAAGTTACGAGTATTAAGTGAGATAATATATGTAAAGTGGTCAGTTCTGTGTCTGGTATATAACAAGCACTCTTGCTAACTGTTACTGTAATTTTTATTATTTTCCACCGGGACCGTTTTTCCACAATGCAATGATTCCGAGAATTGCTCTGTGTTTTTGGGGTGAAGAGGGTGTCAATGGATGTTAGAACCAAATTTTCTCACGAAGAGGCTCCTAAGGATAGCCGTCTACAGCCGAATCAAGTCCTCTACCATTGTACCCCAACCCCTTCTCCCAGATCTCTGGGACGGCCTTTCCACCGCCCAAACTCACTGCTGTCCAGTCAGATCTGACTAATAGCGACCCCTCGGGTTTCCAAGGCGGTATCACTACGGAAATAGATTGCCCAACGTCCCTTCCAAGGAGTGGCTGGTGAGTTTGAACCGCCAGCCTTCTGGTTAGCAAATGCCTTAGCCGCTGTGCCACCAGACCTCCTTTCCGCTGCCCAGAGATCCTTAATGAGGTACCGACAAAATGACTAGCATATTCTGTCGAAGGCTCAGGAAAGCCAGAAAGGGTGCCTCCAGAATGCCGCCCAACAGGCTACCAGAGTCCCAAATCCCTGTTTCCCAAGCTGCCTTTTCTGGACCAAGCTTTATCGCAGTCCCTAAAACCAACTACATCGCCCCTCCCTCGGAGCCCTCGGGAGCCAGAGGCAGCTGGCGGGGATCCGGGATCCGGGATCCAGGATCTGGCTCACCTGCTCCACAGCCCAGCAGCGGAGGCAACACCCGCAGGAACCGCAGGGGGGAGGGGAGGACGGCCTTGATAGGGGGCGGGCAGGTGGGCGGG